GGAAGCTCCTTGATAAGTTGTTTAGTGGCTCTATGCAGGTTCCTTTAATCCAAATTTGGGAGGACATGGTTTGATGGATGATGTTGAATTATAGCCAACAAACTGAAGTTGCTGAAACGGGAAGGCTCATCTGGCAATCGTGGGTAAGTCAGGTTTGGAGAGAACGTTGTCGTAGATTGTATGGAGTTAATACTAAAGGTTTTCATGAGGTGTGGTTTGTCATTAAATCCGAGGTTGTCTGTGTTTTAGGCTGTGATAGGGTGACACTCTTTTGGGATGTTTAAACTGTGATCTGTCTCAGAAGAAGGTTTACATTACTTGTTTTCACAGATTTGGTTAGACTCCCTAGCTAGCAAGGGTTTTGTTAGCAACCACTTTTTTTATGAATAAAGATTTCAATGATTCATTAAAAAAATGAACAAGGAGGAGAGTTGTGGCCATGTTTGGATCCACACATTTCAAAAACTAGGAAAATAATAAGAGTTGTTCTTCCCGCTATACATTACATGCCACCACTACCCACTACTAGCTACTATACTTCCTCCATGTTTTGCATTATTTGTGTAATAACTGAAGATGTTGGGGAAATACATTATTTTTTCCAAATCCTAGTATTTTGTTCTAGTTACAAGATTTGCAGTGACTTGGGATCATGTTTCTAGACATATATATTTAGTTAACAAACTTGGCCAGCTTGTGCTACGGCAAAAACTCTAAAAGAGCACAAACTCATTAGCATCATGAAATTACTTAATATTGGACAATTAGTACATTCCATCATTTCTCGTCGCTGAATGTGTCATTATATTATTCGTGTAACAACTCCTCACCATCGCCACCCAAATTACATAAGCAAACATCGTACACAGAGAAACAAAAATACTATAAAGATATCTATCCAGTAGGATAATTTTGAAGCGTCAATTTTGTCTACAAAGTTTTCATCCCACCTATGCAGTACAACATACTACTAAGCAATAATTGAAATACCATATCGGGGGTTGTACTGGAAATGTTAGCGGCAAAGTATTTTATGCTAAAACCGTAATTTAATAACGGTTCAACAATTTTATATAGTTAAATACCGCTACCGCTATGACATTTTTGTAGTCGAACCGCAAGTATGTTTTTCAATCCTTACAACAAAGGTGAAAAATGAAAAGATGGGCTTTGTTTATTTACAGATCGGCACCCTCAAGATTCAGCCATTGACAATGTGGAAATATTATTATAAGAAAAAAAGATGAGTGCAGCGGCGTTGCCAGCGAGAGTTGCCTCCCGGAGCTCGACAAGCTTCAATGTCGCAACCCCAAGATTTGGAACATTGCTCTTCTCATCTACATTTGTTTATTCGATTCCTCTATGCACGTACCTGCAGGATTTTCTACTGTATGTATGTATTAATGAGACACAGACCAAGTACAATGACCCATATTGATCAAACACCATATGGTTAAGTGTTTTAACTGTTTATATCTTGAAAAATTATATCATACCAGCATTTTAACCACAAAAAACTCTTATTGGAGACTAAACGTGATATGTGATATTTAGTGGTATGAAGCGGTTGAATCCCGGTTTCATCATAAAATTAATACACTACAACTTATTTTTCTTATACAACCTCCCTTACGGCATTACAATCCTTGGTTTATATAAAAAAATATTTATGGAAAATAACAGTGTACAAAATCTAGAATGGTAAAAACTACAAAATCTCGTGTCTTACCAATGTTTTAGAAATCCTATTGTACTGGCCGGTCGGACCAGAAATATCGCGTACCGACTCCAAAACGGTAGGAGTTTTCAGCGGTTGGAAACGGTTGAACCACGATTTTTTAGTACAAAATACTTCATCACTGACTTTTTCGATATAACCTTCGACACGGTTTCACAGTCCTTGGTCTTACCACACTTGATACAAATCATACTATCATGATGCGATTATATTATGAGTGGTAAGTCGTGGGTTCTTTAGGGTTTGTCGCCTTTAGATTTTGTACCATAATTCAAATGCTACAAAACTTGTGTCTTACCATCCCTGTTACGAATCATACTATCCCCTTATATGATTGTATTACGATTGTATTACGATATTATGATTCATATCAAAAGTGGGTAGGTTTTGACATTTTGAACCCTATATTTTTTTCATTTTTAATGGCATATTCACCTCCTACAAACTTCACCCATATTTCATTATCCATTTTTACTGCCAAATCGAAATTGTTATTGTCACATCTCCAATCCATCCATTGGCAGCAGGTGGTAACATTGGAATTGTTCTTTATTGATTGATACTGTGGAAACCAAATCCAACAACACATCCTGCCCAGGAAAGAAACAAACAACACAATCTAACCTTCAACAGTTGTTTGTTGCTTCTTTTTCTGACAATGTTAAATCTAACCAAAATTTACTTACCCTCCCTCCATACACCAATGTTTGCAATTTTGCCCACATATGTACCCAACATTGCATCGATCGAGTCTAATGGGAGTGGTCTTCAAGGATCTCACTTACTTGAAATATGGGTGTATAAAGGAAGATTGTTTATCCAATGGGGACTAGTTCTGGAATGATCCTAGTGAGGACTATCACATGTGTGTACTTACTTCTCGGAGCATCCAACCATAGTTAAGTGCATTGTATTTTTTCGTGATCCTCGTGGAATCAAGTCTGCGCACAATATTTTAATACAACATAATGTTGTTTTGAATTCACAATTGTCCCTAAAAATAAGGTGTAACGAGACGGCTAACTCCAATCCTAGTTATCAATCCAATTACTTTCATATTACAAAACAAAATGGATATTATGGATTATAAATAGTTTAGAAATAATTTATTAATCAGAACGATACCCTATTTTAATACGTACAGCAACACATCAAAATAAAATAAAAATATAACGAATTTTCCCCCTCCAAATATCGACACATTTCGAGCTACATAAATCTATCTGCCCTGCTGTCAAACATGATGGAAATGCTGAGATTATTATTATAATTATGGGGAGAGGGAATTCAAAGTTTAAGCATGTGAGGGGTGGATAGGGATGGGATTTTGTTCATCCATCCAAAGCAAATTCATGCTTATCCATCATTATTAGGAGCAGGGAATTGGGTTCTGCTTTCTGGTCATGTTCCCTAATCTCAACATTATAATATAATTAATTGATTGATTATTGATTAGTTTGTTTTTCATTAGTCCTTTTTCCTCTTTGTTAATCCCAAAGCCTTTTGATTAGCTGTAAAAAGAAATGCTTGTTTTTGTTTAAGAGACATGTGATGTGAGTGACGCATACAAAAGACAAGGAAGCTGCCTCGATCCATCCCCCTCCCTTCAATTCCTTTGCTCCCTAAACATGGAGTCTTCTTAACAATCTAAAAAAAATACTTGTATAGATGTAGTGTACAATACATGGTATTATGAATGCATACAATGTATCTTTTAAATGCGATCCCAGGAAAATGGCGGCATTCGTGATAAGACGATACTGTTGAGATGATTGGCTTTGAGTCTTGGTGTTTATCGGTTTATCTTTTCCTTTTGTCTCTTCGATTGTAGGAGTAATTAGATTCGATATCTATGACAAAACAAGAGCATATGAGAATTAAGTTTTTATTATTGAAAGTGACTTTCAAATATGTGGAACAAGGCAATTCAGTGCATAAAGTGATCGTTCGTGACATTGTATCAATGAATTTAGTTTCAAAATTTTCATGTTTAAGATATCTATATCTTGCTTTACTTCGACTCGATTCGGTGTGACGATGCATACTTCGATCCCTTTGAAAAGAAACATGTTAACCTGAGTGGAATCAAATAGAACCAAATTATAAAGAATGCATTCAGAATGATTTCGGTCTTCCCCGCCCTTCATCAGCATTAATACAATCTTATACCGTTTCAATCCAACCTCAAACTCGAGTTGAATTGATGTCACTCCTATACTACATGACTCCCAACTTCCATCTTAATCTAGTTGCATAATGCTTCACTATTGTACTTATTTTCTCTCCCAATCCTAAGGATCATGTTCTTAGCCAAACGTTCTCAAACAAAAAGAAAATTAGAAAGTAGAAATGACTAATAGTTCGTTAATGCTAGGATTTGACAAGTAAACCATCTGGCTCCAATCGTCTTGATGATGGATTAGGCTTTCGATTTTCGAATAATTGTTAAGTGGGAGTAAGTTGACTCGCCCCATTAATTGGGGCAGGAAGGCAGGCCCGCCTATCTCCAAAAGTCTACCTTACTTAGTCGGCCGTAAGTAGCCGATTAAAAGCAATAATTTGGTGTCATTAGCCTAACTCCGCCGGCTAATTACAACGTAGAATGAAGGGAATCCCGTTGTAATCAAGAAGCTATGGGCAAAAGAATACAAAAGTGATTTGAGGCGCTAAGCAACGCGATTAACGCACTAATTAATCCAACTTGCAATTTAATACTAAATAATTAAATTAGTTTGGAAGAACACAATTCATTGAGATAAGAAAAGAGAAGTGGCACATGGTGTGGTTAGACCAATACCGACTAACGATGTATGCACGCGACATCTTAGGAGCCAACATCATCTATAAGAGAAAGAAGGTCAACGACAAATATGCGTTCTTGCTTCTGATATGGTGCTCAAAATTTATCCATATGCACTTGTGTCGTCTCCATTCAGGAATATTGTTCAAACGAAGCATAAAACCAAGACCAAGAAAACTAATTGTGCTGAATTTTTTTTTTTTTTAAATATTTTACCTGAGCCACAAATTCGAGCTAAATCCACGAATAAACCGGTCCCGCGAGTTTGCCCGATGTCATTGCTCCAGCCAGCCAATCAAATACAGTGTCGCATGGGTGCTTGCGTTGCCTTGATGAGCAATCAACCCCTCTTTGCTTATGTCAAACTCAAAATTAGTCATTGATCATCATAATTATTTTATAGCTTAAACTATTGAGCTTGCTGCCAACGCACAACTAATATGATTGATTGAACTTAACAATCCGTTAAGCATTCAATCAAAGCCACATAATCATTAGTCCCATTAAACAAAGTTTTCAATCCTGAAACCCTAAACCTAATATTAGTTCTAGAAACTGGATAACGTATAACAGTATGTCAGGCATCGTTTGACCTTTCTCCCTGTCTCCCTCAGCTAAGACATTTCTCACAAGTACACAACATTAGATACAGTTATACACCAAACATCAAGAAAATTATGGGTTTTACTTTTCTTCACACGATAACATAAAACGAATTGGGTTCTAATGACAAGAGGTTATTTGGTTTAACTCTGACATCTTTTATGGTGCTTGTCTCATCATATGTTCAAGCAATCAAATGTTCATTCTGATTGATGGGGCTCTCTATTAGGATGTGATAAGAAACAGAGAAAGAGAGGAAGCTGTAATAGGGATCTTACAGTATATATATACATGCCAACTGCCCTTGCTGTTAGCCTGCAACCGGTAGCTGCAAGCCAGTTGTTCCCTTGGGCCTCACGAGGTAAGCGAGTGTGACTTCTGACGCGGTAGACTCTCGACTTTCTTCTTGGAATGGTATCTCAAACATGAGCGACTGGTACAAACAAACCTCGTCTTCCTTGCAATAGTAAACCTGTAACAACAGATATATTACGCACGAGTCAGCACCTCTGGTAGTTTTCTTATTGAAAAAGATTCAGCACTTGCCATCTTAGGTTTGCAGCCTTACCTTGCACCCTATTTTCCCGGTTGCAACTGAGGAGGAAGCTCTCTTGTAGTGGAGGACAGCAGTTCCTTCCGGGCTAAGGTATCCATCCGAGGGATCGATGGACAGCACCTCTTCAGGTTCAGCATCGACCGTGAATTTACTTCTAGCTTCCTGCCCCAGAGATTCAGTAAATGAAAATCATGAGATCGACTTTAACAAGCATTAGTTTTCTGTTTAACGGATTTCAAAGTTAAAGACAGGGTTACCTTCGAGAAGTGGTACTCCTCGGGCAATGATATTCTAAGCAGCAGCTTTCCCTCATTGGTCGAAACTCCATCGACTTTAACTATTTGTGTATCGGCTGACGCTCTTCTCCTTAGACGTTTCAACGATCTAGATCTCGAAGCGGGAGGTAGAATGCCCTTCAGCTCCAGGGTACGAAGTTCGGGTTCTTCTTTATTCAAGTCCAAACACCGGATAACACTGTTGTTTGTATCAGCTATGATCAGTTTACCTGCATTTTACCAAGGAAAACTATTACAGTGCCATTACCAACAGAAAAAATGCAAAAAGAAATTGTGAACAGATATGACAGTCACTGAGTTTTAGTTAATATAAGGGTTAATACATTATTTTGGTCCGAACTATGACCATATAATCAACTTTGGCCTGTGGTTTCAGAAATTAACATCTTGGCCTCAACTATACATCATATAGACTTAATTGGCCCGACACGTGATTTGACCATCAATTTGGACTGTCAACACGCCAAGTCATTATCTAGTCAGCCTAAAATTCATTAAAAATTTTCAAATTCAAATTATTTTCCTAATTTCTATTATTTATCATTTTAAAATTACCATAAAATAAATTTTAAAATAATTTGATAATTTTTGGTTAATTTATAAATTTTATCATTCTCAAATTACCAAAAAAATATTTTATATAATTTTATTTTTTGGTTAATTTGAAAAATATAAATACTAAAAATTAGAAAAATAATTTGAATTTGAATTTTTTTAATAATTTTTTGCTGACGAGACAATGAAATAACGTGTTGACCGTCCAAATTGACGGTCAAATTATGTGTCAAGCCAATTGAGTCTATATGCTGCATAGTTGAAACCAAAATATTAATTTCTGAAATCACGAACCAAAGTTGATTATATGGTCATAGTTCAGACCAAACTAAGGTATTAACCCATAATATAATTATATGTCTGGAAGACAATCACCTTTTTCCAGTTCAATGATACCTGCTGGTTCAGAGAGCTGCAAAAAACACAAAGTCACTGTTACAAGCAAACTAGAAATAAGAGGAAGAAAAAGAGCCAAGATTATTCTTTACATGAAGGATGATTGAAGAAATTGAATAACCACCAAACCATACCTCGATTTATCTTTTAACATTCTCTGTGTGTGTGTGTGTTTTTTTTTTTTTTTCTCTGCCTATATACCTACAGTAAAGAAACATTTTGTAAAGCAGTTTCTAACCTGAGCAGTTATTGCTTTTCCATCCGTGAAACCAGCTTTCCCTGTTCCAGCAATTGTTGTAACTCGTCTAGTTGATGGATCTAGCTTCTTGATCTGCCAAGTGATAAGGAAATCTTCGCAAAATCAACTTACGCAGCCATACATGAAAAATTTCTCTGGTAGCAACCAGCTAAAGAATCAATGAGACAATGACTTAAAAGATGCACCAAAAGACACCATGCTATAATGCTAACCTTGTGATTATAGCTATCTGCTATATAGATTTGACCATCTTTGGCACAATATACACCCAGGGGATGCTGAAGAAGTACTTCAGATCCTACTCCATCATGATCTCCAAACTGAAAATCCAGGTCCATAAGGTCAAGGTGTTTGTTTATAATAGCAACACTGTGCTAAAATTCCATTAAAAATTATGGGGGTGTTAACTGAATTACTACCTTAAACAAATTTTCAGGGAAAATCGGATCTCCACCAACTAGTAGCCTTGATCCTCCTGTCTTCAGATCAAGGGCCCGGACGGAGCTGCTTTCACTATCAGCAATGTAAAGCTCCTTCAAATCTGTTGATAAGAATTGGAGTGGAACTCTAATTTGTGATGAACACTGTTGGAGCAGTCATGATCTAGGCTATTGAGGGAAATGAAAGTTGTCAAAACATTACCAAACTTTTACCTGGAGAAAATGAAATCCCAGAGGGTTGAGCAAATGATGTACTCTTAGAGCTGTCCCAAAAATGAAAAACAACATATTATACCAAATTTCTAGGAAGTGCATACTAATGCCAAAAAGTAAAAGAGATGTTAGGTGACTCGGTCTATATAAATATTAGAATTAGAATATACATGCCAAGGAAAGATAAACCAGTGGCATGACTAAGTGGAAGAAACAGAAGCCGATATAACTGTGAAGTCCAGTTAATGTCTTACTCTGAGCCATTCAAATTCCTCTCATAACCATCACCACTGAACACTTTAGTAACTCCATCCATAGTGTCGTGCTCCCATATCTGGTGTTGCCCAGCCATAGCAATGTAAACCTTCTCATTCACCGGCTCAAAGCATACGTCCCATGGAGAGTTGAGAACCTATAACAAGTAAAGTAGACTTTATAACCTGGCTGATACCAACAGCACATAAATTCAGGTCTTTAATTATGAATAACAAAATGTCTAGGAAAACAGAACTACGAAATAGAAAGACACCCAAACTTTATGAAGAATAATAGTAGAAGACCCATCCATCAATGACACCTAAACAATATTCATTTCCTTGCCTGGTCAGTTCCTTTTCCTCCTCCCTGGTAATCCTTGCCTTTGTTTCCATTTCCAGCGAGAGTCCGCACAGTATCATCAACCAAATTGATCTCCCTACAGTCATAAAAGCTCAAAATGACTGATCAATAAGTTAAAAGAGTATCCTAATCCTTTCATTCACATTCGTGAAGATTTTGTTGTTGATTGAGTGAGTATTAGTTAGAAGTCTCAACTGACCGCAATGCATGATTTTCTGTATCCGCAACATAAAGGAGATTTTTCTTCGGATTGTAAGCCAGACCCTGTAGAACCATGTAACAAAAAAGAGTTTAATCCAGGCACACCCAACCGTGAGTACAACATAGAATCAAGTTTCATCTGCCCATTTCCCAAGCAAAAAGCATGTGTTAGCCGTGAAGTGCCTTATGAAACTTCAACTTGAGATAATTGATTACCTGAGGGCGATTAAAGGCTGCAGTCTCAAAGGAACCATCACGAAGTCCTTCCTCTCCTGTGCTACCAACTTGTAAAATAAAGTTTCCATCCAGGTCCGTTATCACCTGGCTCCAACAGAACGAAGTAACGAGACTGATAAGTGTCAAACACTATTGGCACAAAATATCCCATTACAAAATTTGGTATTTACTCATTTCACTCATAGGAAACTCTCTTTATGTTGCAGCGAGCATAGTAATTTCAAGTGTTCTCTGTCCATGAGTAGAAAGAGAACATAAAATCTTACTATACGGTTGTGGTTGCTGTCTGAGATGAATAGTCGATTGTTAAGCACATCAATCGCCAGCTTTCCAGGAAACTTCAAAGGCGAATTGTAAAAACGTTGGTCCCTATTTTTCTCCAAGTTCAGTGGAATTGGGGTTTTATCCAGGATCTTTTTCTTGCCATAATAGAGAAGAGCTGCCTCAACCAAATCATCAAGGTCCTGAAGCAAAAGACAGAGAAAGTGAGGCATTCTTTCTAATGAGCTACATGCATGAAGTTAAAATAAGAGCTGCCTCTAGTAAATGAGCATTTACTATGGTAACTACAATGTATACAATTTGGAGTACCTGTCTATGGCCTTCTCCAGCTACTTGTGCAAGAAGTTTTCCATTAGGACCAACAATAGCAAATGTAGGCCATGAATTGATACCTAGCTCCCGCCACAAATACATCTCTCCATCATTGACAACCTAGAGACAGAAATTTATTAGCATACATAAGATAGTAAACTGCATTCCTAACGGTTTACTAAAGATGAACATGGAGAAAACCAACATGCCATTGTATCTACCTTTGACATTCTTGGCCCAAGCTACAAGATCAAACCAACCTTTTATAGTTTTTCTATGCCTAACTTATATATTCCCTTGCAAGTAGATATCTATCACCTCTACCCTCATTCTTTCATAGAGTTTTCAAGTGAGCGGCTGCATATCAAGTATCCTTCAATCTTGTGCTGCCAAAAGGAATTTCTTGTAAGAGTATCCTTCAATCTCTACATCACTTACTGGATGGGATATATTGTAGCGTAGAACTGCATTCCTTATGGCTTCTAAATCCTTCTCATTATCAAACTTAGCAGAATGTACCCCAACAACAGTAAACTGAAAACAAAGAATTGCGAATACGCGTGTCAGAGACAAAACAAGAAAAATAATGATAATAACAACAATAATTGAAGCTTTGCTGAAAGCATCACATGTGAAACTTCTAACAATAGTCATATAGCAACCCACAAAGAGAATGAAATGTTCCAAAGAGTTGGATAGCGCAATGCTTAGTTCGTTAAAGATTTCGGAGTTATGCAGTTCGGTCCTATAAGCTCACCATACAACCTAAAAACAAAATTCTTTATTGGGTCCTTTTCTGTTATCCAAACACAAGGATAGATTGTGGTATAAATTTATTATTTATGTTCTGGGATCTTTGATAAGAGCACATAGCTGGAGTGATATGCCCGACATGGTATCCAAATAGACATTTACAAGAATGAGCAAATATGACTTTACCGGCATATCTTTGTACTTCCTCTCCAGAAACTCTAGATCTGGCAACACATGCATACAATTTATACAGCAGTAGGTCCAGAAGTCCAGCAGCACGACCTTTCCCTTCAAATCCTGTTCAAAAGAAAAGAATAGCTCACCGCACACAATTACGATCTTTGCATTTCAAATGGAGGTAAAGTCAGATGTTTTTGGTAAATTCAGCACCAGAAATTGTTCATGCAATGTTCATATTCCATGCTCAAGTTATGGATCCTGGCTACAATGCAGAATTTTTTTGCAGAGGTATACAGAAATCCCTACGACCCAAATGTCTGATAGGTGAGAGAAAAACTGTCCACTGGCTCTTATAGATGTATTGATGATGATAATTGGATGCTTCATTATGGAGCTAAGATATTTGAATTGAGGGAAACTTACTCTGCGAAATTGAAGTGGAGCTGTGTTAAGCCAATCAAGTTTTGATGGGAATTCAGGGACTGTGGTAGTAGATCCCCTGAAAAGATAAATTTAATAAACTAAGGTTAAGTAAATAAGGGATTACATACACTAGTATTTTCATGTTAAGCACATGAAACCTAGTGCTTGTACAAATATCATAGTACTAGTGCAAAGACGTCAACATGGTCAAACTGGCATAATTTTGCTCACCTGGCTTCTAGATCAGATATATACTTGACAAATTGTTGGACTCTAGAGAACCGAGGTGTACCTACAGCCAATTGCAACTGGTTACTTGATGCACATAAGAAATATTGAAAAGGAAGGCCCTATTCTCTTAACCTTGAGAGAGCAGCTTACGATTAGCAACCAATTTCGGGAACCTCTATAAACTTGAAGGGTTGGCATAATGAACAAGGGACCAGATAAGAAAGTCTAACTTCAGGAACAATCTATGAACTTCACGAATAGAAATTTCACTATAACTCAGAAGCAAGGTTGTCAACCCGTGGGTTGACCCGGACCCGGTCGAGCTAGTGGGTCAAGGATTAATGGGTCAACTATTTTAGCCCGGTTTGGCCCGGAAATATAGAAAGAGTCATTATATTGTACTTATCCTCATAAATTATATCAAATCTTATCTAACATATGAGTTATAACATATAATATTACACCAAAATAACATATCGTACTTAGATCCAACATATAGTGAAAATTCACACACACTTATATAACATAAATATTCAAATGTTCAACTTAGTATTCCAAAGATTGAGTTAGGCGAAAAGAAAAATTGGAAAATAGGCGCATTTCGCAAGCTAAAGAAAAAAATGACACAATTTGACCTCCAACCCGGTACTTTATAGCGGTCGGCCCGGCGGGTGCGTGCGGCCCGTTTTTCTCACCGGGTCAAGGCCAAATTGGATCGGCCCGTGGGTCAACCCGCGGGTTGACAACCTTGCTCAGAAGTGAAAAGAAATTTTACTGTAACTCAGAATTACTCAGGTGGCATGCATTCCAGTCCCTTTTTCAATTTTCAATCACGAGTAAGAAGAACCAAAAATATACCTGCACTTTCACCCTTTTCAAAAGAAGGACTGTTGACTCCAAACAACACGTTCCATATCGCTTTAGGGGATGCATATTGCATTGCCTGTAAGGACACATCTTTCAAACAGTCCAATTAATAAGCAACAAAATCCAGCTGCACATAAATATAGGCATTATTACTTTGAAAAATAGGCATATAACATTTACAATACCCTTTTAGGTGACTTACCTTCCAGTTTGAGACAGCGAAATAGAGACAAGACAAAGCGATTCCCAGACTTCCATATCTTATGATTTCACGCCGAGAACCCTGCAACCTGTCGATAAATTATATCTGCAACTTCAAGCTGAAGCTGTTACATAAAGGCTTTTTGTGTGCATTGTTTAATGATCAACAAATTTATTATTTTAAATCTAGGTATTACAGTCAGTAGATGGCTTAGCCAGCTCTTAGATGAGTTCTCTCAATTCCAGTAAATTTAAGAGAAAAGGATTCTCACATCTTTGTGAAATTTTATGAACACAGCAGATTCTTACCCGCCAGTAGAGGAAACCTTGTCACTGATAGCAATTTCTTCGTTAAGGATTGGGCTGTTTTGCATTCTGTCTGTAACAACAGCTTCGGACTTCTGTACAGAAAATTGCAGAACCTGAGGTTGCTGCATCTTCTCATCTGCAATTATGCATGTTCATTAGGAAATAGTCTACTAGTCTTCCCTACTATCCATGATAGACACTTCAAGGAGGAGAATAAAGAGGTAGGCTCTCGTCTGCGGTCTTGAAAAATCTCTTAAAATCCTCCCAAAAATTTCAAAGTATACAGTACTCACAAGAGAATTCTTCTAAGTATCAAGTAAGCACAGAAAGAGCTTTCAATTGTCTGAATTATACAGAATGACAGTTCCAGCGAATTCTCAGGGCTACATACTATAGGAATCAGATCCACCACTCAGAATATCTTCAAGTGAAACACTTCCTATCTGGCTTCTGATGAGAGAGGGACCAGCATTTTTCATAGCCTCTTCGGACATGGTAGTTGTCACAGCTATGCATCTGCAATAAGTAATACAAAAGAATCCATCAATTTTCATGGAACAATGGATGTGGTACCATTTGGTCTACATTAATCTAAACCAAGTTAAACAAGACTAATCCTCAATCAATAATGTTGGAAAACAGGACCCATCTCAGGGGAGGAAGAAAAAAGGGATGGCGATGGAGAATCATGCTTTGGAAATGTAGTCCAATCAGGAGGCAGTGAATCGAGACAATTTTACAAATCATTAGTGCCTAGTCTGACAGAAATTATGATACCGGATATACTTGTGACTTCTAGAGGAGAGTACATTATCAAACTTACCTCATGTTTGCTGCCTGAGCAGCCTGTACACCTGCTAATGCGTCTTCAATCACAAGACACTGGGAATAATTTCGCACCAAACATTGTGAGTGAAAATTCCGTCTAATTTATAATCCTGAAAGAATAAGGCTGTCCTGTCGCCTGAGAAACATTATCAGATAACAAACCTCACTAGGTGGAACATCCAATATTCTTGACGCGGCCAAGAAAATGTCAGGAGCTGGTTTCAAATTCTCAAAAGCATCTGCCGACACAATAGCATCAAACCTGATAGCAAAAAAGTCAAGAAACGACCATAAGGACTAATACTCCCATCCATACAAGTCACAAGCAAGCTTCAGAAGCTTACATTGAAATAGGTAAACCAGCAGCAGCCAAGTTCGCATTGACCTTTATACGGTCAGCACTAGAAGCAACAGCTACTTTGAGGCCTTTGCTTTTGCACTGTTTAAAAATAAGCATAAAGCACTCAACAAAACTTGATAATTCAACATACAGCTGAAAATTCAGTATAATCACTAAGTAACAAACCTGAGTAACCAGTTCAAGAGCACCTGGGAATCCAATCCCAGACTCGGGTTTTGCATACTGGAAAACACCACCCCCAAGACCATGTCAGAGATAAAGCAAGCGAAAACCATTCCAATCGAACATAATCTTCAGAAACTAGTCATCACCTTATCCAGATAGATCTCGAAGAACCTCTTCTTGGCTGCCTCCGGATCAAACCCATCAACTCCCTTAGCATTCGCTACCCCGCCTAGAAAGTTTATTTCACCTAGTACATGGAATGCATGAACATTGATAGACTGCGGTCACCAACCCAGTAAGCAAACACCGATTCAAAACATCAATTCAGCATTTCCATTCCCCATTTAGAAGGAAGTTCAGTAAGAACCATCAGAGAGACTTCAATTCTCAACAATTGCAGAGAAATTCAAACCATATTTTTAGCTATGATCAAGAAACGTTTACCAGTGCCAGTGAACGGCACAAAATCGTCCACCGTGACCTGAACACCCATTTCAGCAAAGACATCCACGGCCGCCATTCTAGAGGGCTCTTCGCTGTTGCAGAGCACTCCATCCATGTCGAAAAGCACAGCAGAAACTTTACCCCACTGGTTCGTTGCCGTTGCGGCTCCTTGCTGTTGCTCCACCTTCAGGCAAGCGCTCACCGGTCTTCGCCTCAAACCTTGCTTCTTCGATCGCCGCTGGAAGAGGTGATCAAGCGTCCTGGAGACGGGTGTGGGACTAGAAACGAAAGTGGAAGAGAAGAAGAAGGAATTTGGGCGCGACAGAGCTGAAGAAGAAGGAGAAGGTGGAGGAGGCCACAGAAGCTTCAGGGCCATGGCTGGTTTGTTTCAAATCCACAATCAGAAATTCTTCCACATTTGAGTGGCGCGCAGCTTTTGCTAGTTATACTCTTTTTCTTCTTTTTCTTAAAAATTATTTTGGTTCATAAAAAAATTGATTTTGGCTGAGCCAGATTGAAAAATGGGCTTTGGCTGAACCTGTGAAGCCTATCTAATCCATTTAGCGGGCCAATCTGTCAATCAAGGTCTTTATTTGAAAATTGTATTTCATTACTCGAGATTTTTCTCTCTCCTTTCTCTCTCCTTTCCCGAAACTCTCTGAAAACTTCTTTTTTCATCGCGTTGGCCGTCGTCGCTGACGGAGTCACGCCTGGCGTCGTTGGTGGCGGTAGGCCCTGGGCTTCTCTCTTTCATGTCTTGGAGGAGGTTCGGTTGGATTTCTATGAGCCGGAATTTGTTAATGGGTCACTTTGGATCCCCAAATCGGTGATCGAGGAGGGTACAAAGAAGTGGGAACACAGCCTTGTAGGTCAATTCCTGGTAGCTCCGCCTTCCCTTTCGCCTTTGCGATTCTGGGCTAACTGGATCTGGAGTCGAGACGAGGAGGTGAAGGTTTCGCTCTTAGAAGATAAGCTCGTTCTCTTTCAATTTCCATCGGAGGCGACCTGTCGATGGGTGTTGAAGGGGGGTCGTGGCACTATCGGGAGAAGATCATTTTTCTTCGGCGCTAGGTCCATGGGATTCGTGCGTTGGAGATTGACAATTCAGATGTTTCGGTTTGGGTCAAGTTATCTGGGTTGCCTGCTGAACTGTCGATGAGAGAAGGATTAGGTCGGATTGCGAGTTCTATTTGTAAGCCTCTTTGTATGGATCATTCTACTGCGCAACGAGAGAGGGTTGGTATTGTTCGTATTTGTGTGGAAGTAAGTGCTACTAGACCTAGGATTGACAAAATCAGTATTGCTCCATATGATATGTCTGAGTTTATCATTGGCATTGAGTATTGTGGATCGCCTCGGTGTTGTGGTACCTGTGGGGTTTTTGGGCATGATTGCTCTCTGCCACCTCCTGGGACTCCTACTAAAAGAATTTGGCGGCGCAAGCGATCCAAGGTTCTTGTGTTGGGGAAGCCTGAGGTTGTGGGTACTAATGAGAAGGAGGTTGTTCATGTGTTGGGACAGCCTGAGGTTGAGGGTGCTAATGAGAAGGAGGTTATTCAGGTTTCTGAGGAGGAAGCTGTTGCTATTAAAGGTAAGAAGGTCATGGAGGATACCACTACTCCTGTTACCCCGAGTGCCTTACCTTCTCAGGAAGAGTTTAATAAGGTGATTAATGGAGCAAAGCCCAAATCTGCTTTGAAGGTACCTACTCCTATTTTGCATTCTAATGCTTTTGATCTGTTATGTAGCCAACGGGGTATTATCTTGCAAGCTCCTCCAAAGAAAGGGGGAAGAGATGGGCTTAGAAGTAAAGGGGGAACCACTAAGGTGGTTGTTTCCCGCAAATGACACTACTAATTTGGAATACAAGGGGCTTCAATGGCCCCTTGAAGCACAATGCAGTGCTTCATTACCTTCGAGTACACATGGTTTCTATCTTTGCTTTACTTGAAACAAGAGTGCAAAATAAAAAGAAAATTGAGGAAATAAGGGGGAAGTTTGGTGGTTAACAGTTTGTGGATAATTACTCTAAACATAAGCTTGGCAGAATTTGGATTGCGTGGAATGATGATGTTAGATTACAAGTGCTAGCTGAGGAGGAAAATTTTATGCATATGGTGGTTTCACTGAAGCAGGGTGTACAATTTGTCTTCACAGTGGTGTATGGTTCCAATGAGGACAAAGATTGTGTTGTCACATATAAACAGATGAGTCATTGGAGGGTGCATGGGTCTCCTTGGGTTGTAGGGGGTGATTTCAATGCTATTCTAGACCCTACAGAGGCCTCAAATGATGTCTCTATCTCAGGTAGTATGATTGCTTTTAGAGAATGGGTGGAACATATGGAGCTAGTTGACCATAAAGCCTCTGGGCCTCTGTTTACCTGGTCTAATCAGCATCAAGGTAATCCCATTGCTCGCAAGCTTGATAGGTTCATGGTTAATGTGGATTGGTTAGAGAAGTTCTCTGAATGTGTTGTTGAATTTCTAGCACCTGATTTCTCTGATCATTGTGGGATTCTCACTATTCCTTGTGTCCCTGAAAAGTCTTATCCGAAACCATTCTGCTTTTTTTATATGTGGTATTCACATGACTCTTTCTCTTCATTATTGGAATCTTGTTGGGGGCAAGAGGTGAGGGGAACGGGGTTGTTTGGAGTAAAGCAGAAGTTATATCTTCTGAAGGCAGAACTTAGGAAACTGAATAAATCAGAGTTCTCAGATATTTCTGCTAGAGTCAAGGAGAAAAAACTAGAGCTTACAACTATGTAGGTCCAAGCTCTCCAGGATCCATCTGAAAGGCTTTTTGAGGAAGCTCGCCTACTCACTGGTGATTATATACAGTTGCAAAAAGCAGAAGAGGCTTTCTTCAGGCAGAAGTCTTGTATTACTTGGCTTGCCCTAGGAGACTCGAACTCTTTTTTCCATAAGTCTGCTTGTATACGTAATGCCAGAAAGAAGATAAGAAAGATAATATCTCATAATGAGGAGGAGTTGACAGACACTAAGGATATTTCCGATGAAGCGATCCTTTTCTATAAGGATCTATTTGGAACAATAAATAAAGATGGTTGTACATTGTGAACTCATTGAAGGCTGCTTGAGTGAGAAGTTGACAGATGATGATCGGATTATGCTTTGTGGGTTGGTATCTGGGGAAGAGATAAGGCAAGCTTTATTCGACATGAATCCAGCAAAATCTCCAGGCCCAGATGGGTGGACAGCAGGGTTCTATCAGAAATGTTGGGGAGTTATTTGGCCCTGATATAGTTAAAGGTGTCCAGGCTTTCTTTCAAGAGGGGCTTCTACCAAGAGGTATGAATTCTGCTTCATTGACCCTTGTCCCGAAAATACCAAATGCAGATAGACTTAGTACTTTTAGACCTATTGCTTGCATAAATGACACGCTAAAACACAACACCTAACAATGGCCAAGTGTAACCAATGAAAGGGACTGCAGTATAGGCAAGTTTAATTATCAACCCGGGGTCTAGATCTACTGCTTACTCCGTGATTCTCTATTATCTAGCAAACTAATTCGAGAGATTGTTGTGAAAAGTAAAAGCAACAAGACAGCAGTAAATTGTTCGGGTTTCTAAAGCAGGCAAAGAGTCACTCGGGATTGAGTCCCCCTAGCCCCTTAGTTAGGTTCAATTGCAATTCCCTGGGTTGATTTACTGTTGATTAGACTGCGGAAGATCCGACAGTAGCTTGGAATCTCTTAAGCTGACCAAGCCCTCTCAGTCTAGCTACCCGGCAGACGACTAGTCTTCACCGGGATAGAAAGCTGAGGCTATGAACACAGAACTCCACTACTAGCGCCAAGAACACCAGTACAAACCAGTAAACTGGCTAACTCTCGTATAGCCAATCTCCTACTATCGAATGAAGAGGCTCTAACAACCTAATCAGATTCTATCTATCTCAGGTTGAAGCAGAAATTGAGAAAAGCTGATCAGACTCAAATCAATTCATGAAACATGCGTCATTCGATTAAAATCAAACAGTAATATCATCCCAAGTCATTACAATCAAATCCCTAACACAAGGAACTAGGGTTCTTCATACCAAAGTGAGAGAAGGGTTCTACTCCATAGAGAGAGAAGAGAAAACAAGAATCGGATTAGTCATACTCATAACGATGAGGATAATCTGCTCCGGGACGATGATTTTCACTCCTATGACGATCTCCAGGCTCGATTCGATGAAATCTCGCTCTAAGACAGCTTTTAGGGTGTGTTCTTCGCACTTTCTCTCTCTAGGGCTCTGTTTTTGCTCTGAAAACACGATTCTCCCACTTCTGGCTCGGAATAGGCCTTAAAACCGATTTTCCCGAGTTGCACGGCCAGGTGCACGGCCGTGCACAACAAGATTCTGGCCGTGCACCATGAAACGCGCCCGTTTCATTTAATTCGAACTCATGCTTCTTGCACGGCCAGGTGCACGGCCGTGCAAGTCTGGATTGTGCCCGTGCATGTGCTCGGCCAGTGGCGCACGGCCATAATTGCACTTTGCACGGCCGTGCGTCTCCCTGGTCTGGCCGTGCGGCTCCCCAAACAACTCGCCATCCGTCCGTTCTTCGTCCAATCGACCCCAGACTCGCTCCTAAGCCTTCATTCACGTACTAGGACCTGAAATATCACAAACAAGCACAACCTAGCGTGAAATCGGCCTAAAACACGAGAATCAACACCTCAAACGGTGTAAGAATGAGGGTAAAAACATGTGTAAATGACGGTCTATCAATAAATGTTATATACAAGATTATATCTAAAGTGTTAGCAAATAGGCTAAAGAAAGTTCTTCCTTCAGTCATTAGTCGAAATCAATCGGCCTTTATTCAGGGGCGTAGTATCTTAGAGAATATCCTAATGGCTCAGGAAATTGTCCAGAATTATAATAGGAGACAACTATCTTCTAGGGTTGCCATCAAGGTGGATCTTAAGAAAGCATTTGATTATGTCCATTGGGGTTATATTCTGAGTGTAATGAAGTTGATGGGATTCCCAGAGTCTTTCATTAAATGGGTTTCATTATGTTTAAGCTCAGCTTATTTTAGCATTACTATCAATGGTAGCCTGTTTGGTTTCTTTGGAGCTGTTAAAGTGGTCAGGCAGGGAGATCCTCTCTCCCCCCTACCTCTTTACGATTGCAATGGAGCCCTTGACAGGTTTGTTAAACAGAGCAGCTGCTAATGGGGACATGCCTTATCACCCTCAGTGTAGACAGCTAGGCCTCAGTCATCTCAGCTTTGCTGATGACCTCTTGATTTTCTCAGAGGGTTCAGGTTTAGCTTTGAGTGGGATCAAGAAAATCTTGGATAAATTCTATAAGCTTTCTGGTCTACAATGCAACCCTGATAAGTGTGAGGTATTTTTTGGGGGATTTGCTCATCAATTTAAGTCCATTGCTTTGTAAGTTTTTGGATTTAGAGAAGGTCAGCTTCCAGTTCGTTATTTGGGGT